TTTTAAATTTAAGAAAAAAATTTAGCAAGCACCCGTGTAATACACGGGTGTTGTACTAGTATCTTGACTATATATTAAAGTAATTAAATTTTTTGCTCCAGGGTGGAGCTATCCGAAGGCTGGGTGGGCTTAATCTTGGTCTTAATTTTCTGGCATTTTAATTTTATACTAATAAAATAATATTGCCCACATTATATTATATTGGTTCAGTATTAATCTTATTTTGGCTCAAACTAAGTTAAATTTATTTATATTAGTTTTTTTTTTTCGAAACGATAGAAATTGTTATAACCAAAAAGGCACAAATGTGCAAATACAGCTCATAGCCGAATAACACAGCTACCAACTAAAAACTGAGAGTACATGTCAGAAGACTGCCTAGAGCCTCAACTAGCCACGCTAGAAAAAAAACAGACACAAAACACTAACAACAACTACTACCAACAATTAGAATCACTCCACACAGGAGAATAGGATCGGCCCCCACGGGGTAATCAAACACAGGGGCCAACGGCCCAGACCAAAAAAAAAAATCCTAAACAACACTGAAAATAACTAGAACATAAACAAAATCAATCGAGAGCCCTTCCCACAACAGAAAACCACATCGAGCACAACAACGACAAAGACTCGGTCCAAGATCCCGACCCAGAAACTCCAGAACGCCTAACTAAGTCGAGAACCAACGGACCTAACCCTCGTCCATACGAACAAAACCACTGACGCCCCGGAGACATAGACACCTGACCAACCAGCCCAGCCGGACCCGGCCCAGACCAGCCCAGCCCGACCCAGCTCTGTCTGGCCCATTATCGCTCAGCCCAATGAACACAACCCAACCAATCGATATCAGTTGACCGCGACTCCAAAGCTCCACACCCGCCCTTCCGGCGACCGCGAGGCCAAAGATCAGCACCCCTTGTTCAATCGATGACCACCAGGCTCCAATGCTCTGCCCCAGGACTAGGGCTATCCAATTGGCCAGAACCAAATCTCCACCCCAAACCCTAATCGGAAAATTGGGGTCGCAGCTCACTCCAAAATGGCACCGGAGGCCGCCGTTGAAGAGATACCGGAGGAGAACAACACCTGCCACACGCTTCTGGCACTAGAGGCTGAGCATCGGAGGACGGCGCAGGCTTCTCCCCGGCGAAAAAGCCCCCTCCAGAGGTGCTTCCCTTGGAGACGAGCTGCGGGGCCCAGAAGGCCGCCGCCGAGCACTCGAAGTGCCCTGTCGGGGAAGGCGACGGTGGATTTTCATAGAGTAGCGGCGCGGGGTAGAAGGCGATTTTTTTTAGTAGCGGAAGACAGTTTTTTATATTAGTTCAATGAATTATATATTTAAACATAATTTAATTTTCTTTTCTCTTTTTTTTTTTAGATTATTGTGCCTCTTTTATGTCATTCTTGTGTTTATTTTTTATTATTTGATTAAATAAATTTTATGTGAATAATTTTATTCGAGAAAAATATTTGATTGTGTTAGACTTTCATTAGAATACTTAGTACGTGATTGAATTTATAGATTTTCCAACCAAGTTTATATATTTATTGTATTTTTAAATAAATGATAGTTGATTATACGAAATTTACTATTAAATCTCATTTATTTACTTGTCAAATTCAATGAAATGATGTATGTACTTTAAATGACATGACATGTAGCAAGAATGACGAGACTATTACACCGTTTTATACTAGTTCGTTGAACAATTTATGGTTTTTTAATTAAAATTTAAGTACATGGAATATTTATCTTTGTACATTTTAAGAAAAAATGATAACACGACTATTTTTCTTTATTTACGGTGTGATTCAGGTAATTTATATTAAATTTTAAAAAAAATCATATAAACTCAGTTCAGTTCATTTACTAAACCTTAAACCTAGAACAAAACCCAAAACTCTAACTGAATTATTTGCGAACACGCTCGACTCGACTTGTTTAATAGACAAGTTTTATTTTTATCTATTTAAATATAAAAGAAAGTCATGCTCGAACTTTTACAAGTCGAACTGAACAATATTAGAGAACAACTCGATTCGAATAACAACAACATATTTTTCAGCCCAGGGTGAAAACTTTTTCTGGCTACACCACTGAAAGTACTTCTCCAATGTATGGCTACAGTTCGGAGAAATGAATAATATTGTGCCACATATGTGATGAGAATTATGTATCGAGACTCCATTTTTTGTAAGAATTCGCGCTAACGGCTTTAGTTCGAACCCGATAACGGGTGAAAAACTGAGTCTATCGGCCTCAATTTATCACGAAGAAAGTACTAAAAAATGAGCCTTTTTCTTAATCTTTATTTCATAAATTTCTACAAGATCATTTTCTAGTCTTTAAAAAGAAACAACATGCAAATTCCTAACTAATCATTCAAACATTTAAATTATAACTAACATAATAATCCTATCCAAATACTTAACTAACATAGCTAGCTAATATTAACTACTCCCACCATGCACTTCCATGTCACATGTAAACTGATGTCTAGGCCCAGCCTGTTGCAGGCCACGATGGCCCCTTCAGTAGAGGCGCGAGTGGCATCGTGTCGCGAAGCTCCTGCTCGATTTCTGCCTCTGTCCTTATGAAAGCTTTCACCGTGCTAGGCGGCCTGCTTCTGTTGGCGCCAGATTGGCCCGTTTTCTCTATGCGCATCATTCGACCCCTTCTCAAATATCCTTGTCCTCAAAGATAAAAATAAAAAAATTCTCCTTCTGACCCGACAAGACCATGCATTCGTGCGGCCCTCACCACTAGAAACTTCAAAATGAGCAGTCACGCCTTGTCTACATGGAGATGAGACACCATCACCGTCTCCCCTAACCGGCGAGGCCAAGCCCCTCTCGCTTGTTGCTTATGTTCCGTTGATGGAAATGTTGAGTTATTTCCCCATTTTGCTCAATTCTTTCATTCAGAATCTTATTATCCCAAAATGAGAAAACATCTATTTTTCTGTTAATTTGCCACTTGATGCGTACTCAGGAGCTATGTGCCCAAAAGTTTCCCTGAAACGTGTGGAGACATGAGTGTAATTATCAGAAGTGAGTTTAGCCAAACCGAAATCAACAACCATGGTTTCAAAGTTGTAATCAAGAAGAATGTTTGCAGATTTCATATCCCCATGGATAATCCGCGGATGACAATCTTCATGTAGGTGTGCAAGCCTTTTTGCTGATCCCACCGCAATCTTAAGCCTAATTGCCCAATCCATCATTGGTTTCCCATTCCTGTGAAGATGAAAGTCCAATGTCTTTGATGAAGACATAGTCTTCACGGCAGACTGCTTATAATAGGAACCTATGCGCATTCAAACAATATGAACCTACATGCGCATAGACTCCTTATAAAGTCCAAGGTCTTTGATGAAGACATAGTCTCCACGCCGCGTGACAAGCTGCTTGCTTGATGCACATCAATCTAATGCAACACTGTAGCTTACACTACATCTTTATTTTTGGTTTAATGTATTTTAATGTAAAAATATTGATAAAGTTTTGTGTAATTTGTATTATTATATGTATTTTTTATGTCAAATAACTTTGTGCTTTTTATTTATTCATATATTAAAATTTTATTTTGTAATTTTTAATATTAAAATTGTAGCACATGAATAAAAATTTAACACAATAAGCCAAGTATATTTCATTAAAATAAAAGTTTGCAACACACGTAAATCACAAAATACACATAGAAAAACAACATAATTATTATGTAATTTGTAATCCTATTGTTTGAATTTATAAGCAGTCTCGTGTTGTTATACTTAAACATATTTTTGTTATTTGGATAACAAAAATTTATATAAGATTAGATATGCATAGATATTACAATTTATTTGAAGTAAAAATAAATAAAAAACTTAATATATTTTTGATATAGAATAAAATGTAGGGCAAAAGACTAGAGATATTAAACTTGAGTTTTGGCTTATTATATTTGAATTTTGGCTTATTCTACTCTAGAGATATTCTTATATTTATATCCACACGACCTCAAACATCTCAATCATTTCTTAATTTATATTTTTGTATAACAAACTTCCACTCCATTCGTTTAAAATTCATGAGGGGATAAGACTAATTAATTAGTAAGGCAAAGAGCTTAGCAAATGTAAGGTGATGCAAATAGGTTTTCATGGATGAAACTAAGTAATTAGTAAGGCAAAGAGCTTAGCAAATGCGAGGTGATGCAAATAGGTTTGACTATGAAAGTGGAATCAAAGGCAAAGCGTATTGTTCTCACTTTTATTGCAATCTTTTTTTTTTTTTTTCTCTCTTTTAAAGGAGGAATGAAAGATCAATAGTGTTCTTATTTCTCCTATTCGGTGACTCGAACCCATGATCTACGGTCAAAAGTGAAACGTCTTACCAAAAAGCTGCTTTTCGTGGAGTTATTGTGCATACCCTGCATCTTTCATTTTTTTTTTTCTTTTTTTTTTCCTTAAGGATGAAACCAAACACTTTTACTTTTAGTATTAACAATTAATGAACTTCACAATTCACACTGTTATAGTTTCATTTTAATTTTAATTGAATCAAGGAGAAGATGACCAAACGATCGATTATATTACTACTAACACAGTAACACGTGCAAAAACCAAAACCCATAATTGGTAAGAGAAAAACCATAGTGAAGTTATTTAAAATACGAGAAATCAAACACTTGTTAATTCAAACACAAACCTAATACTACTAGTTTCAACCGGACACCATCACCACTCAACAATAGTAGGCCAACAAAAGGCTACTAAGTAGTGAAGATTTCTTCTCTTTCTTGCTGAGGAAGTTTACTGGTTAACTCAGTTTTCAGACATTAACAGTGCTCTTAAAGTGGTTGTCATCAATCGATGAATAAACAAGACCTTCTGATTCCAGCGACTCAATAGCTTCTCTGCAAAAAGAACCAGACGAAACAAATAATGAATAAATATGAGAGAGAGAGAGAGATAGAGAGAGAGAGATAGAGAGAGAGAGAGGGAGAGAGAGAGTTACGAGATTTTAGCCTCGGGAACTTTTAGTTGTTGAGCAAGTTCACTCCGATGGATTCCTTTCTCTTTTGCACTGCAACATTCGGAGAATTTTACCAAGGTTTAAGAATCAATAATTCTGAAACAAGCAGCAAGATTATCATCCAGAAATCTTGTTATGATGCAAGTCACTAATTTGAAAACATGAAAAAATATAACACAAAAATATTTTCAGCTTACTGAAAAAAAGTTCAGAAAGATATAAAAATACTCATGCTTTGTCTCCCTAGTGATAACGAAAACCTTTGTGAGCATCCAAAGGCATATGCAGATGGGTCAGTGTTTGGATTGTGTAACTTACAGGGATGAAGGCATCTGCAAATAGTCCAAGATTGCTTTATCGAGGCCCTTGACTCCATCCAAATTATACTGCACAGGAAACTAAAAATTAAGAATATTAGATCAGCTTTGATTTGATTGGTAAACATCGAGTTTCAGTCAAAAATATCAGTCTGGACTTACATGATTAGACGGGGTAGGTTGGTAACCTCTGGAAGGGGCGCCAACTGCTGAATTTGGCATATGACCTGGAACTTGGGAAGCATCCTGCAGCTTCTACAGAGGAGGCAAAATGGATAAAAGGCAAAAGGCTTAATTTAATACGAACCAAACTTAATTTCAACGCTTGGCATGCCATATTCCAATCAAGGCTGATTTGATCATACCCGTATTTTAGTATTGTAGCAGTGGACGTAAATACAGTCAGCAAAGTGGTTTGCAATCTCATTGTAGTCTTCGAGAGGCCTGACAGTAAAGGGGTATTTAATAAATGTGTGGAAAATATAACGAAACAGAATCACACAGAGAATTCAGAACAATCTTGAAATAGGTGATATAAAAGTTATGAACAAGGACAGTTATATTGCCCCAATATAACCTCAAGGCAGCGAGTAATATATGTGAAATCAGTATTGACCATCTCCAGTTAAATGAACGTTCTAGGTTCCAACAGAGAGCAAAATCATGGGATGAGTCAGTGACACTGGCTTCCTAATAAGGGGGAACATATACTGAATATCATGAATCGTTATCTAACTACAAATGGTCATCAAAGCATGCTAAATTCGTCTTTTTAAATCTAAAGCTTGGAAGTTTGTCTAGATATATTTATGCCATTCAATGAAGGAACTGAATCCAATCAAAACTCAGCTCAATTAATTCTAAATCTGCTAAACAAAAATTCAGGAAAGAATATGTACCTGTTTTTGGTAGTCCATTAGACTTTAAAATCAGTAACAATTCATGAAATTGAGGAATAAATTGGATTGAGGAACAAAATCATACTCTGATGGGAAACAAAAGAAGAGATTGGGTGGGTGATGATTGAAGCAATGGGCAAAAGCTACTGAATCTTGGAGAGATGACAGGGATTTGAAGGGCTGACGTACATGATTTACGGTGCACGAGACACAACAACAGATAAGATGACATGCAGCAATTGCATGCCAATACTGTAATGAGAATATTCAGGTAACATCAAGATTGGAAAATAATGGCACAAATGTTTTAGCTTCAGAACTAAAATGTTGTGAAGATCCTTCTGCCAAATCTAAGCTATCTACATAACTCTCCCAGATATAGTTCTTCTTAATAATTCAAAACGACCTTGCTGAAGAAGTTACAACAACGAAAGTTAAGAACTCAAGACATGCAAATTGTTTGCATTGGTATAAGAACGAATCAACTGTGTATAAATATATATAAGGACTCTGATTTTGTTGTAAAAAGGGATCTCAAGTCACTCTCTCTCAGTGGCTTGACACGAACACAAGCATGAAAAAAAAAATGTGAACAACTGGAACAAACCCATACCTGACAGAGTACACCATCAGTTGCTTTTTGCCCTGAAATCCCTTCAGGTGCCCATGAACCTTTACGTACATGCCATTTCTAAGTAAATAGAACATGAAAAACAAAGTTAAGAAAAATAGGACACAACGAAATCCGTAGCACAGGGTCAAGTCTATCTGGAAGAATCATTACAAGAGAATCTCCATTTCCTTCGTGTCAATTGCTTCATTTACCCTACAATGTGCAAATAAGTACAAGAAGTAAGAAAAAAAAAAAACCCAATATTCAAATAAACAATCAGACTTCTAGTGATCACAACAATCACATCCATCATGTTCACATACAAATTCGAAGGAATAAACATACCATCTGTGGCAATCAATGCGACCAGTTCCATCATCAAGCACGAATGAAACTTCAGTCACTCTTTCAGTTTTTTCATCCAAAATCCCTACTAATTTCACCTAGATACAACACAATTTCAAAGCCACAATGATCAACTATAATTCAGCTAACATAAATATCAACCATGATTGCTTTTCCCAAATAGATACATACATTGTTCACATCAACTCCATCAATTAGAAAATTCGCCTTGTCATCACTTGACTGGAAGGCTTCACTTATTTGCTTCACGGTTAATGGTAGTAAAGGCTGTGCGTCACGATTCTGCAAAATAACACAGAACAAAAGGCGCACACAAACAATTCATACCTCAAATCTTCATGCTCATATGACAAATCATAGATAAATTACAGAAGCAAAACCGCTAAATGGAAAATACACATCTTTTTTTCAAAAACATATACTCATCCTAAATCTCAAATTAGGGTTTTGGAGAAGCTTCTTCAGAAAACGATAAAATATGGTTTAACACAGATACGGATAGTCGATAGAAGAAGAAGAAGCTTATGACACTGCATAGGCTTACCTTGGCCGGAGAGAAGCCAGGGTCGGCGGTTTGGGTGGCCTGAGAAGGCATGAACCCGCCGCCGGAGAAGGCGGCATTACCGTCGAACTGGTTGTTCCCGTACATTTTCTCTATACAGAGTGCGTCCGCCGGAACACAGATGTAGATTAAGGGCACGATGTTTCGAGTTGAGAGCAGAAATTGCGTAGCAGTTGTAGCTAACGAAACCTACTGTGAAAAGAAAAAGCCCGGGCGAAAGGTTATCGAGTTCCCGCCATTTTGTTTCCTTCTTCTGGAATCCTTCCCTTTCCTGTTTTATATGCGAACAATTGTAAAGCCCCGTCCATAAAATTAATTAATAGAGTAATGCTCTATGCCCTTGTTTGTTTTGAAGGATGGGATTGGACTATTTTAATGTCAATGTAAGGTATTGCACTGTTGGGATATATATAGTGAAGTGTGTGTTATGTGTGATATATGTTGGGATAACTTTTTGATTTTGTTTTTTAAAAAAAATGATTTAATCATAAAAAAAGTTGTCTTTATGTGCAAAGTACTATTTTACCCTTCATATCAATTGGAATTATTAATTCCCAATAATATCTCCCAATTTCAGCAAATTGAACTGAGGTCGACGGGGGCTCTTCTGCTCTATTCTCTGTTAAGACCTCGCCATTTTCCGCCCTGAATTGTACGACGCGCTGCGACGACTGGAATGTCCGGTAAAGTTCCCTTCAACAAATAGATTAGTCATTGACACCGATGCCCCTGAATTGAACGACGCGCAGCTTAATTGAACGACGAACTGAGACGAAGATTGTGGGGCCGTCGTCGGAAATTCCAAAGCATTCATACCGGAACCAAGGACCAGCGACGGCGACGAGGTAACTATTCCTCCGGTTACTGACCATGGATCCATATTATTAAGTCTGGAAATATATTTTCTGCAAATTAGGGTTTCGAATCATTGTTTCTGTACTGTTTACCGTAGCACAGATAGATTTTTTGATCGATTTTAAAATCCTTTATCATGGGATCATTTTGATTGAGATTAAAAATAAGCTTTATTTTGCAGTGGATTACCGTGATAGTTGTATTGGTACAAATTCATATTGAAGTTGATATGTGGTACTGTGACTGAATATGTATGTTCTGTTGCATTTGTCTGGCCTCATTAGGTTTATTGGCTACGAGAGTTCTCGTGTAATCAAACTATTATTTTTGATGTTTGGATGATATGTGGTGCTATGAAAGAATTTGATGTTCTGTGTAATTAAACTGTTAATTATGATGTTCAGATGATATGTGGGACTGGTGTAAATGATGTGACATTCTCTCTTGTGTGATGACATCCTCGATTTCATGATTTATTCGTTAAAGATTGAACCTTTGATTCGATGTAAACGAAGTGGAACTTGAATATGCATCGAATGTTTTTGTGCAAACTTAATTTCCATTCATGTGTAATGTGAACAGTATGTCGACCGACTCTAACTCGTTCACAAGGACAACGTCTGGTGAAACCGTTGGAAGTACCCACGTTCGTAAACTATTATGTCTCCATCTTGAGGAGCCCGATTTGCTGACAGCTCAAACTGATAGGAATCCGTGTAGGAGGTTCTACAGGTGCAAATATCGAACGGTAAGTCTCATTCTTGTTCAAATCATAAAATTTTGAAGGTTGCTATCTTAATTAATTTTAATGATCATATGACCTAACATACTGACTTATGCATTTCAGGAGAAAGATTGTGGATTTTTTCGTTGGCTGGACCCCGAACTCCCACCATTCCAAAAAGCAAATTATTTGAGGTTGAAAGGTCAATTAAACGTGTTAGAGGAGCAATTAAATGCAAAGTGGTGTTGGAGAAATTATTGTCTGAACGTTTAGAAGCGAAGAAAAGTGAGGTACAATTGTTGAAGATGGAAATTGATGAGCTTAAATTAAAAAATGCAACCATGAGTAAGGAAAAACAATTTCGGAAGTGGTTAGTAATGTTGGTCATTGTTGTTTTGTTGGGCCTGTGGTCTTGTGGTGCACTACAAGAAAAGAAGGTAATGCTTAGGTTGGTTTAAGCAAAGATGTCATGAAAACCCGATTAGCCTGGATTGTAAAGAAGCAACTTGTAACAGGATGTTAGCTTTTAGAGCAGGATATTGTAGTTGTTTTCCTATGTTGTATTTTGGAAATTAACTTGTGTGATCATGTTACATTTGGAGCATGATATTGTAGTTGTTTTCCTATGTGGTACTTTTCAAATTAGCTTATGTTTTACTGTTTCATTTGTAACAGGATGTGTGGTACTTTGGAAATTAACTTGTGTTTTAATGTTACTCTTGTAACAGGATGGTGTAGTTGTTTTCCTATGTGGTACTATAATACGAATGTTTTGTGTTTAATAGTATTTGTTGTGGACCAATGTTTTTGTTGGACAACCTGATAACATAATTGCATTCAAAAGAAGGAAAGACCATCACAAAAGTCCAAGACCAATGCGCAAATACCCTACAATCATATCAAAACATACATATCCGCCACCCAATAATAATATGGAGAAAATTTTCGTGCTATGGGTGTTTGCACGAATAATAATATAAGCAAGTAGAACATAACACACAACATTAGAAAACTAATCAGATTCTATGCCCAATTCGGCGTCCGACTCCTCGTGTTCTTCATCCATTTCTTCCCCATTGAAATTGTCAATGACATCATAAATTGCATCCATCTCGGCATCTCTTCGGACTCCACTTCAATTGGGTAGTTCCTCCTACGACCAGGCTCAATCTCAACCTCGTAATCTTCTACGTCGATTGGAAAGAACTTACTACGGCCCGCCACATTCTCAAGCTCATAAATTTCCACGTCGATTGGATGATCGTGTGTTGCTCTCGCAATCCCATTGTCATCATGTTCCAACATGTCACCCGTACCATCGTCAAAGTCTATCTCAGCGGCTTGACGATTCACGAACACCTCCACACATTCACTATACCACTTGAATCCAAAGAGCCGGAAGAATTTTTGGAAATGTTTCCTACAAAGAAACGAAAGTGAAGTTAAAAATTTTAATAAATCATCAAAGAAAACAAATGATCATATAAATGCGAATGATAATAGTGAATGAACTTTTACATCCAAATAAATAAAATCAAACATTCAAACAAAATATGTATAATTGGACATTTTAGATGCTAACAACATTTACATATTTAGCAAACAAATATCATATTTTAGCAAACAAATATCATTTTAATATATGTATGAAGGAATAACTTAAAATTTACCTCCCCAACATGTTTCCAATAAGTCGGTTTAACCGTAACCATGCCATCATTGGGGTACAACAAGACGCCCGTTGTGTAGGTGAATCGGTTAAAGGCTTCAAAATGATTCTTCAAGAGATTTATCTTCATATGAACCTTCGCCTTGTCGAATGCTTTGTGCAATGCATCCGAAAGTTGACGTCCAAGATCGGTCCAAATGGAATTGAATACCGACGGCCTTCTTATGTCGGGCATTGACCGGCACTTGTCAAAGAACATGCGATACACTAGCTCCTCCTCTTCCTCCGTCCAATGCACCCCACGGAAATGG